TGGGCTTTAATACCCTAGTCCTAGCTGCCTGGAAGTCAGTATTCCACTAGCAGTCTTCAGATGAAGATGTAGAATTCTCAGCCCCTCCTTCACCATGCCTACCTGGATACTGCCATATTCCTACCTTGATGATAATGGACCAAACCTCTGATCTGTAAGCCAGCTCCAATTAAATGTTGTCCCTATAAGAGTTGCCTTGGTCATGGTGTCTCTTCACAGCAGTAAAACCCTAACTAAGACACTACCAAACCCAAAACAGACAAATCCCTCCCAACGAATCCATGAGCTAATGAAATGTACTCAGAAGAAGAAACACAAATGGCCAATGAATATTTTTTTTCAAATATTCAGCGGGGGCCAGTGTGACAGCCCAGAAGGTAGGCATTTACTGCCGAGTCTGGGACCTGAGTCCGGTCCCTAGGAGCCACACGTGGTGAGAGAAGAGCCAGCTTCTAAAAGTTGTCCACTGGCCTGCACATCAAACTGTGGATGCACACACACCCACAAGTAAACACATGTAAATTCTAGAGATATTCAACATCCTTAGTCATCAGGAAAATTCCATTAAAACCACTCTGAGGGGCTGGAGATGGGCTCAGTGAATGCGAGCGCGTGCCCTTGCAGAAGCCCCAGGTTCAGTTCTCAGCACCCACACAGTCATTCTTAATCCTCTGTAACTCCAGTTTCGGCCTCTCTATGAATAGATATAAGACATCACATACACGCAGGCAAGTGCTCATACAAATAAAAAAAATAAAATTTTAATTAAAAAACCACTTTGATATTTCATCTCACCACAGTCAGAATGGCTATCATAAAGAAAACAAATAAGCAATACGGGAGAGGATGTGAGTGAATATGAATTTCTACTTACTGCTGGTGGGAGTCCAGCCCTGTTCAGCTATTATGGAAATTAGTATAGATGGGTCTAAATCAATTTTAAAATAGAGCTATAAATGACACAGCAATACCATTTGTGCTGGCTAATTTTATGACAACTATGACAAAAGCCAGAGTCATCTTGGAACAAGGAACATCAATTAAAAAATGTCCCATGAACTGGAGAGGCAGCTCAGTAGCTAAGGGCACTGACTGCTCTTGTAGGAGACGTGGATTTAACTGACAGCTCAACACAGCTCTAACTCCCAGTTCCCGGGTTCAATGCCTTTGACTTCTTTTTTTGTTTTTTTGTTGTTTTCTTTTTTTTTTGGGGGGGGGGGGTTTCGAGACAGGGTTTCTCTGTGTAGCCCTGGCTGTCCCGGAACTCACTCTGTAGACCAGGCTGGCCTTGAACTCAGAAATCTGCCTGCCTCTGCCTCCCAAGTGCCGGGATTAAAGGCGTGCGCCACCATCGACCAGCTGTGGTATTCTTAACTGATGACTATCATGGGAAAACCCAGTTCACTATCTGCAGTGCCACTCCAGGGCAGGTGATCCTTCGTGCTATAAGAAAGCAGGCTGAGTAAGCCATGAAGAGCAAGCCAATAAGGAAAACTCCTCTATGGCCTCTGCATCAGTTTCTGTCTCCAGGTTCCTGACCTCACTCCATCAGTGACAGACTGTTACCTGGAATTGTAAACCCCTTTCTCTTTAAGTTGCTTTTGGTTATCATAGAAATAAAAAGCTACCTAAGATATCACTTCAGGATATAGATCCAAAGGACTCTATGTCCTCCAGCCTTCTTTCTGCTTTCATGTTAAGTATGTATGTATGTTTTTCTTCTTCTTCTTCTTCTTCTTCTTCTTCTTCTTCTTCTTCTTCTTCTTCTTCTTCTTCTTCTCCTCCTCTTCCTCTCCTCCTCCTCCTCCCCCTCCTCCTCCTCCTCCTCTTTTTTTTTCCTCTTCCCCTTAAAAAGACTTATTTTTGTTTTCCATTTTCTGTGTATGAGTGTTTTGCCTATATGTATATTTGTGTGGCATATACAAGCCTGGTGCTCTTACAGGCCAGACAAGGGCATCGGGTCCTTGGAACTGGAGTTACAGAAATGTGCAGGTCCAGGTTTATTGCTGCATTATTCACAATACCAAGGAAATGGAACCAGCTAGACAGTCAATAGAAGAGATAATAAAAATAAAAATGGCATACACCAGCCATGTTGGCACACCTTTAATCCCAGCACTTGGGAGACAGAGACAGATAGATCTTTGTGAGTTCCAGTCCAGGCAGGGCTAACATGAGACCCTGGATCTGAAAAGCATTATTTTAAGTGAGGTAAAAATGTAGAATGATAAAAATGGAATGTTTTCTCTCTTCTGTGGATCCTAACTTTTAATGTTTATGTAAAAGGGCATAGGAATGGATTTAGGTGACTGATCTACATATGCGCTCACAAGATCAAGATGTATTGAAAAGGGTTTGGGGGAGCGGGCTAGAAAGATGGCTGAGCAGTCAAGAGCACTGGATACACGTGGAACACAGACGTGCACACCTTTATTAATCCCAGCACTTGAGGCAGAGGCAGGTAGAACTCTGTGAGTTCAAGGACAGCCCAATCTAATAGTGACTTCTAAGACAAGCAGACCCTGTCTCAAAACAAACAAAACTGGCTACTCTTCTACAGGACCAGAGTTCATTTCCTAGTACCGACACTGAAACTCAAAAATCATCTAAAACTCCAGTTCCAAGGACCTGATGGCCTCTTCTGGCCTCTGACAGCACCAGGCATGTACTGTACATACACAACTACAGGCAAGACACTCATACACAGGAAATGGGAAATAAAAACAAAAGTTCGGGAGGACAGAAGAAAAAAGAGCATGCATGATAGGGAAGCAGACAGAAAGCTGGGAGAAAGGCACAGCAGGGAGATGTCCGGAAGAGAAACAACAACAACAAAAAAGATTTTTGTCTGAGTATGCTCCAATGACATCTAAGTCTCTACTTGCTATTAACAAGTAAACAAACACATAAGTGATAAAAAGGTGGTAGCCAGGTACAGAAGGACATTTGGGTCACCACAGCACCCTGAAGGATCACTGCAAATTGAAGGCCAGGCTGGTATATACTGTGAGCTCCAAGTCAGCCAGAAATACATTAAAGACCCTGCTCTAAAACAACAACAACAAAAATGTGGTGATTCACACCTCTAATCTCTTTTTTTGTTGTTGTTTTTCTTTTTTCTTTTTGTTTTTTTCAAGACAGGGTTTCTCTGTGTAGCCCTGGCTGTCCTGGAACTCACTCTGTAGACCAGGCTAGCCTTGAACTCTCAAACTCAGAAATCCGCCTGCCTCTGCCTCCCAAGTGCTGGGATTAAAGGTGTGCACCACCACCACCCAGCCATTTTTCTTTTTTTTCTAGACAGGGTTTCTCTGTATAGCCCTGGCTATCCTAGAACTCATTCTGTAGATGAGGCTACCCTCAAACTCAGAAATCCGCCTGCCTCTGCCTCCCAACTGCTGGGATTAAAGGCGTGCATCACCACTGCCTGGCCATGCCTATAATCTTATAACCTCAGCTACTCCACAGGGTGAGGAAGAAGGATGACAAACTAAAGGCCTGCCTGGGCTACAGAGTAAGCTCACAACCAGCCTGCTAACCTGTTAAGATCTTACTCATCTCAGGAAGAAAAAGAAAAGTGAAACCAGGCTCACCAATACCTAAAATCCAAGCACTTGGAGGGGGGGGGGGATGATGGAAGGATGGCAGGAAAGGAGGACCAATGCATAGTCTCAGATACACAGGAAATTCTAGACATGTGTGGGTCTATTGAGACCTTCCCTCAAAAAAAAACAAACAAGATGTAGAGATGGCTCAGCGATTAGGAGCACTTGTCACTCCTACAGAGGACTAGGTTCAATTCCTAGGACCAATACAGTAGCTCACAGCAAATCTGATACCCTCTCCTGGCCTCTGTGAGCACCAGGCAAGCACACGGTACACAGACATATAGTTAGGAACACAGGAAACTAAATCTTTTCTTGAAGGGGGTGGCTGGAATTATAGCACAATAGAGGAGTGTTTCCATTGTGTATGTGATGCCCCTAGGTCCAATCCCCACTTCTGCAACGCAGTCCATCAATGTAGCTAAGCAGCTGGCATTGTAGCTCAGTGACAGTGCTTGGTTTCCATTGATTTGGGGATGGAGTGAGGTTAGTAAACATGGACTTACTATTTTAACCATTCAGATACAAAGTTCTACAGTGGGAAGTATCTTTACATTGTTACCAACTGTTTCCATCTTGCAAGACTGGGCAGGACAGGATAGGACATAGGGTGGAAGGGTACTAGAGAGATGATTCAGTCACTAGGTTAAGAGTACAGGTTGCTCTTCCAGAGGACCTGGGTTCCACATGGTGATTCATGACCACCTGTAAACCAGTTACAGGGAACTGGGGTCCTCTCCTGACTTTCCTCTCAGCACTGCACCCATGTGGTTCACAGACACGCAGGCAAAACACGCATATATATATGCATACATGACGCATGAAAATAAACAAACAGAAAATTAAGGGATGGTGCTATACCTCAGTTGGTAAAGTACTTGCCAAGTATGTACCATATTTTCTCCAAGCCTTGTGTCTGAAACCCAGGAGAAAAAGAAGAAAGCTGCATTCCTATATCCTTAAGACATTTAAAATACTTTTTTTTTTCCGGGACAGATTTTCTGTGTAACATCCCTGGCTATCCTGGAACTTCCCTTGTAGACCAGGCTGGCCTCAAACTCATAGAGATCTGCCTGTCTTCTGAGTGCTGAGATTAAAGGCATGCGCCACCATGCCCGGCTAAGTATACTTTCTAAGAAAATTTGTTAAAAGTGACATATCATCAGTGTGAATTTAAGGTGTGTATTTGTAAATATATCTGGGAGTATTCAGTATATAATTACTGAGCTTCCCCATCAAGGTATCCTGAATAGTATGCCATTGAAACGGTCCCTAACGGCACCCTAAGTGGCATACACCAGCGATGGCAGCAAGACAGGAGGCGGAAGAAAGAAGCGAACTCCTAGGTGTCAGGCCCACCTAAGCCTCTTCTCCAGCCCTACAGATGCTCCCACCACGCGTCCGTGAACTCTGCCGTCCTCCCCGCCACTGTCTCTCTCCAGCAATGGAGTCGTGTCTCTCGGTTACAGAACTCTCCCTGCCACACATGAATGTTCCTCATGAGTTCGGGCCAGACTGCCTGGAATACAACGACAAAAGTATGACCAAATCCGAGACCTCCAAGACTGGCCTCTCCAGGTAACGGCCTCGAAGCCAGAGTCCTGGGTCCGTCAGAAGAAGGTAGAGCTTGCCGCTAGAGAGAAGTCTAAAGTAGACAGGGCCAGACTTACCGCACCAAGGGGCCACTCGCGCACGCCGCCGGCGCCTACGCGGACTGACCAATTAGGTGCCCTAACGGAGCTAGGCACGCCCCCTCAGGTTTGTCACGCGAAACTTCCGGCTCCGCCCACCGTGATGCATCGCGGGAGTTGAGTCGCCGCAGGCCATTACTTCCGCCCTGAGCTGAGCGGCTCTTCTTCTCGCCAAGGAGGGGCTTCCAGGTTTGGTTTAGGATTTGTTCGGGATTCTAGCGAGGTTGTCAGTGGTGCGGAGGCTTCATTACTGATCGCAAACTTGTCCCGGGTCCTTTCGCCGACAGAACCGTAACTTCATGGCCGTCACCTCTCCGGGTCTGCCCAAGCTCTAGAGTTGCACCGACAGCCCCATTGTCTTGTGCGATTTTCAGAAAGACTTTCAAGTTTCGAACTAATAAACGTCCTTTCCTTATTCTCCCTTCTAACACGACGCGGAAAGGGACCTGGCTCGATCGATTCCTGATAGGTAGGGTTCAGCACTTGAGTGCTGCACTTAATCCGGTGTGAAGGTGGCTAAATGAGTGGACCAAGCCGCCGAGATTTAAGAGACCCTAATCAAACCCATAAACCGTGTCTGCAGGGGAAGACTGCTAGGATGTAAAATGAAAACAGGACTTGCTACTTACTTAATGCTATTAATGAGAACCAGATGCGTTGCTCCTAACACCTCAATGAACCGGGGCGTGGCTATGGATGTAGCTCTGCAAAATGTTTGCATAGCTTGCGCTAAGCTCGCAGTGACACCTTCCTGTAATCCCAACATCATGGGGTGAAAGCAGGACCGGGTGGTAGTGTTAGCGCACGCCTTTAAACCCAGCATTCAAGAGGCAGAGACAGGCAGATCTCTAAGTTAGAGGACAGCCTGGTCTACAGAGTTCACGGAAAGCTAGGAGCCCTGTGGGTGGCGGTGGCGGTGGCGGTGGCGGTGGCGGTGGCGGTGGCGGTGGCGGTGGCGGTGGCGGTGGGGGAGTAATTTGGCCAGTGTGGTGGTGGTGATGGCTGTGGCACAAGTTTTTAATCCTACCACTCAGGAGACAGAGGCAGATATCTGAGTTCCTGCCAAAAAGGAGAGACAAAATATACATATATATATAAAAAAAAACAGGAAGGGCTGAAGAGATGGCCCATTGGTTAAGAACACTGACTGTTCTTCCAGAGGTCCAGAGTTCAATTCCCAGCAACCACACGGTAGCTCACAACCATCTGTAATGGGAGCTGATGCCCTCTTCTAGTGTGTCTGAAGACAGCTACAGTGTACTCATATAAATAATGTTTGTTTGTTTACGCTCCTTATGAGTTCCGGCCAGACTGTCTACAACAACCGAAACATGGCCAAATCCGAGACCCCCAAGACTGGCCAGCCTCCCCCAGGTAACAGCTGTGAAGCCAGAGTCCTGGGTCCGTCGGAAGAAGTTAGAGTTTGGCGCTGAGAGAACTCCAAAATAAACAAGGCCAGATTTAACCGAACCAAGGTGCCACTAGCGCATGTCGCCAGCAACTACTCTGACCGACCAATTTTCTGAATGACTGTGAGTTCTCAACCATTTATAATGGGATCTGATGCCCTCTTCTGGCATGCAAGTGTACATGCACATAGAGCATATATATATAATAATCTTTAAAAAAAAAAGAAAAAGAAAGGAAGGAAGGAAGGAAGGAAGGAAGGAAGGAAAGAAGGAAGGAAGGAAGGAAGGAAGGAAGGAAGGAAGGAAGGAAGGAA